ATAATTTTAAATTCTGCAGTTAAAATAATTATATTAGTATCTTTTTTTTGAAAAATAATCAAATGTAAAAATGTATCAATATTTTTTTATATTTTTTTAAAAAAATATTGAACAAAATTAATAATTGTTTAGTTTCCTTTTTTAGACAGGTCAGGTCAGATCGAGTCAGGTCAAATATATATTTAATTCAGGTCAATTTTATGTCTGACTCGACCTGACCTTATCAGATTGGGTCAAGTCAATTACCTGATCTGACCTGACCTGTTCAGAGCTTTATATTAGACTTATATTTAAGTTATTTAAGTTTTGTCTAGATTATAAAATTTAGGATTATATTTAGAATTTTCATCAAAATCTAAAATATTTAGAATTTAAAATAGGATTTAGCCTGAAACATTATTTTTATCTTAAATTAATGTAAATATTACTAATTAATTATAATTTTTTTTGATTTTACTTAAAAATTATTATAAATTTTATTATAAAAATATTATTTATATGATAATTAATTTTAATTAGTAAGTAAAATTTCTTTTAAATTTGAAAGCAAAACTATTAAAGAAATATTATTTTCATTATAATTAAAAGATTATGTAAACTTAATATAATAAATAATAATTTTTATAAAATTTATTAAGAATTACTATATTAAGATTTATTATATTAAATTATGATTATATAAATAAATTTTTTTATAAAGAAAATTTAATTTTATAATCTAATTTTATTTTAAAATTAAGTTTTTTAGATTATAAATTATAATTTATTAGGTTATAATAATTAATTAAATTATAAGTTATAAATAAAATTTATACAAGTATATTTAATTAAAAAGAATATACAGTCAAACCTTTATATAACGATAAGTTGGGACATATAGAATTTTTTTTAAAAGATATCATTATATTAAATTATACTGATATTTATATGATCTCAAATATAGTAGGTAAATAAAATTCTATCAGTATATAAAGTTTTTAATAGTATATCGGTATATAGAATATCAGTATATAAAGGTCTTACTGTATATATTATAAAATATTTTAATCATTTTTAAATTAAAAACTTTATTAAGAATTAAATAATTTTATTTAAAATAGGATAAATTATAAGAATTTTATATTAAAAAACTACTAAAAATCTAGTATAACAAAAATTAACTAGTAAATTTAAAATATTATTTTATTTATTAAGTAAAATATTATCTTTCAAATATAAAACTCAAAAAAAATTACTTAAATCAATTAATTTACTTATAAATAAACTCAAATTTTTTCTAGTAAATTAGTAATTATAACAATATAATATTTATCAAAATTATTATTTTTAAAATTTCTCTTATAATTTCTTTTATAAATCTAATTATTATTATTACATTTTAGTTTTTAATATAATTAGATTTAATGTAATAAAATCTTAATATAATCAAAACCAGATTTTTTTTTAGCATTCTTTCTTTATTATAAACTTCTTAAAAATAGTAATAAATATTATTTAATACTATTATTAAATTTATTGTATTTAAAAGAAATTTTATTTATTAAATATTTATTAATGATTGCTTTAATAACAGCTTTATTAGTATTATATTATTACACCTTTTATTATAGGAATTTGCTTGCAATTTGTATGCCTTCAGAATTTTACCTTTTTATTCGTTCTCAAAGAATAAAAATACAATCCTCATTAATTTTTTAAAATTATTTGAGAGATTCAAGTTTTGAATTGTTCCAGATTTAATTTGGTTCGGTGATCTGTGATGCTTTAATCAGAAAAATAAATAAAAAAATATATATTTTATAAATTATTGTTCTATCATCTCTATATAACAATAGTTTATTGTTATTTGTATGCAGCAGAGCTATTAATGATCGGGAAAGCATAAGTGAACTTTGAATCATTTGAATCGGCACGACCATACTTTATCATCCCAATTATTGGAATTACATTCCATTTTAACGTATAAGTTCCATTAACCCATTGAGACTTGGTGTAATATCATAAAAGCTATACTTATTTAATGTTTTATTCGAGTTGTAGATGAATTCGTTATCATGGTTGACCACAGCATTATTTGATTTCGATTCTGTAAAAATAGAATTATTTAATCAGATAGGATAAATAGCATTACGAGATTAGGAATATGACTCACATAAAAGTTGTTTTGTATTCAACAACAACTGATACAAAGAATGGCTTTGGTATTAAAAGTGAATATCGGAGTAAAGTCTATCCGTAAAGAATAGAACTTTTTAAAATATTAATTTTTATTTAAAATGTAATTTTACCTGCATTAATATTTAAATGCATATCCTTTGAGCTTCGTGACTTGAATACATGGGTTATGGAATAAAGGAGACTTCATTGAATAATAAGCGTCAAATATTATCATTAAGAAACTCATAAATAAACAAACTAAAAAAGCACACGTAAAAAAGGTATAGTGCGCCAAAATATCATGTGCATATTAAGAAATATTGTCATTAAAAAAAGACACATTTATTGGATAAGTGGCTGAATTTTGATGGATTGATAATCTATATGGAAAGTTTAAATTAAACTTATGTTACACCCGTTTGGATGTTGGCAGAAGAAAAATTTTCATTCTTATTTTCTTTATATTTAATAAAATGAATAATAATATTAACGATTATAGTGATACTGAAAATAATAGTATCAAGGGTAACCAAAATAAAGTTCCATTGTTGATTATCTTTGCCGCTACGGGTACTGGAAAGAGCAATTTTGCTAAAAGATTCTCGGATAGGTTTATAGATGGGGATGATTTGATTTTTCATGACAGTTTTAGCAAGGATCTTTTAACACAAGGACGCTTTGATGAAATTAACGAATTGGCTCGAAAGAGACTTGGTGATTATAGTGGGGATAAAATAATTATGAGTTCATATTATCTTCATCTACCAACGAATAGAGTTGTCTTTCATAGGATGGTGCATGCTACTGATATATATTATACACAAAATTTTATTTGGAATGATATTCAAGAAAAATATCATAGATCGAGTAACGAGAAGCATCTAAATATTGCTATTAATAGAAGCTATAATTTTGTTGATGTTAATAATTTTAAAGAAAAAGATGAGGCTTTCTTAAAATTTGCCGACGAATTAGAAAAAGAACGTAAACTGTTTTGTGAAGACACCAGACATCATCAAATTACTTCAAATGCTTCATAATTATATTATATATTAAAATTGAATCGTCACACAGAGCATTATTTCTAAAAAACAAACTTACTATTAATTTAAATTTATATTACAAAACAAACATAATTGTTAGAATTTAATTTTTTTAATACACAGTAGTTTTAATCTTTTGATACTTTTTCAATAAAGGTTAATAAAATTTAAGAATTAATGCTGATTTAAAATATTAAAATTTTTATTCTTTTAATATATTCTTATAATAATCTAAAATATATAAATTATAAATTACAATATAAAAGTATTTTGTAAATTAAATATTTTGAAACATTAAATGTTTTATTTTATTAATTTTAAATTTAATAACTTCTATAATCATTTTAATAGTTTATTATATTATTAAAAAATTTATTAAAATTATAAAATTATATAAATTTACGAAACTATAAAAAAAAATTTTTTTTTTTTAAAGAGCCCATATTAGTAATATTTAAATATTCAATGTTATTTATTTATGAAAAATCAACAATCCAAATTTAACAAGCAACAATTGTTATTTTTTTAAATACACCCACTCTGCAAAATATATATTTTTTTTCATTGTAGGATAGGAAAGTATTAAAATGAACGTATCACTGTTCTACGATGCATATGCATGTTACAGAAACATTTCTCTTTAGGGGTTTATTTATTAAAACCCACATGGTTATCTGTACAAAAATTTTTCCTCAAATAAAAATAGGTGAGGCAAATGTTACAATGAATTGACTGACAAATATCCCATATAAAAAAGATTGATTTTTCTCGTATTTTTATTAATTCCCATCAATTTCCTTAACAACTTAATTTTTATTATTAATGAAAAATCAAAAATTTTTTTACACTCAAACAATATAAACAATACATGCCTAAATTATTTTAACAACATTACATAAATATGGAAATCTGCAATGTTTATCACACCCAAGCAGGACAGGGCAATCATTTTTTTCTGACATCAGAATTTCGTTATGATTTGATTAGGAATAGTCGAGAAAAATAGGCTAAAAGAAGTTAAAGCATTCTTTAAATTAAATTATTTTAAAAGCACATCCTTTGAGACGAAAAATTTTTTTTTCTTCAAAAAAAAAAAATCAAAATGGGTAGGCCATGGTCTATTAGTGTACGTATATGTATATAGTATATCAACCTTATCATTGTTTTGACCTTTTTTTTTTTCCTTTCTTTCAGGAAAAAGGAAAACTTAACAATTTCGCCAACGAACATGGTACCAAATTGTGGGATCCGATCGCATCTGAACTCGGAAGAACACCTTCAGATTGCAGAAAACAGTAAAACACATTTATTTCGCTCATCTTTCTTTAAAAAAATTTTTTTGTGGAAATATTTCAATAATAAAAAAATTCGTTTTCGAAAAATAGTTATTATGCCCTTAACGGTAAATATGCTATTACCTTATTGTATGTATATGCTTTTGATTTGATATTAAATAATAAAAAAAATAAATTTAAACTGCAGAAGATCAAATACCTCGTAGAAATAGAAATCTACGCGTTCCAAGAAGTCATCAACCTCTTGAGGACCGTCAACAGTAAGGGTTTGTTACATGACAATGCGCCGTTCGTCAATTTATTTAACATATTAATGATCATTTACGCTTAATAATAGAAATAATAACGCGGATCCTGTAAAGTTAACAATACCTCGTCAATTCTCTAATATTTCAATCAACTTTATTTTGAATCGTAATTACAAAATGGAGATCACATATATTTTAGATGGCGTGTGATCAGTCGAGAAAATTTTGACACATCCCGCAATCTTTTTTTTTTTTTTTTTTTAAAAAAAAAAAAAAGATATAGGATGAATGCCGAGAAAAGGGACCAAATTGTAAAAATAAAATTTTCAAGTAGTATAAATTTGTCAATTTGGTCCTTTTTTCTACATCATATTATTTTTTTTTTCTACATTTATATAATTTAATTTATTCTTTGTTAATTATCTAAAACAGGGATTTTTTGAAAGAATGATTCCAATTTTAATTGTATTACCACCACCCTTTATAAATATACAGTATATAATTTCCGTTTCTCGAATTTGGTTAATGCCCACGAGAGTGATGCAATAACGCGTAATGTATTATAGGAGGCTTATAAAAATCACGACGTTTATAATATTGGACAAATATAAACCATTCCTTTTTTATTGGTGATGAAATATTGAGTTGCACGTTTCGTATCCTGCCACATTTCATCATATAGCATACAATATGTTTGTTTTATTTTAACCAAACTCATTTTTTGAGCATGGTTTTTCCTCTATTTCAAAGTAAATCACATGATCTTAACATTAAACAATCGTGAATCAAAAGTGGGTTCAAACTCTCACAAGAAAATTTGTATAGAGTAATCAACCATTTTTATTTTATTTATTTTTTAATATATATAGATGTAAAAGACTAAATATAATATATGAGTTAAATTATTAGATACAAATAGATTATTTTAATATTTATATTACTACTATCTTAATCGTATCCGAACATTTGAATAGAGTTATCTTTCTAAACTTGTTTTAATCTTTAATAATCAGAAATAAAAAAGGTGCCATTTCCTTTGGGCTTCTAAAATACGATCGATATATATACATTTAAAAGTGAAAAGTACACATGAACAAAAAAAACATCCATGATGCACAGATAACTTATTGGTTTTATTTTTTTTTTTTTTAAAAATGATAATCTTCAACAATTTTGATTTAAGTTATAGAAGGTTTTATCGGAAAAAATATTTTAGAAGCGAGAAATCCACTTCAACTTGATTTTTACCAGATAAACCTTCTTCACTTGTTAGCTATTCGGACGGATTGGTTTGATTTTATTCTGAACCATTTTGTTTTGAATTGTGTTATGATATGCCTTTGAAATAAGGTATTTTGATATTTTATGACTTTTCTCGGGTAAAAGAAATAGTTTATGAAGTGTGTAAACGTTCTTTCAAGTTAATAATAGCGGTAGAATCTTTATTTCAAAGATTATAAAAAACGAGTTTATACAATTTTATTTATTTTTTTTATCAAAAACGGGGTGTGGGTGATTGAAAAGAGATCAAATAAGAAAACTTCACTTTGGCAAACAGGCGAAAACAAAATTATCTTTGTTGCGATAATTACTTAGGTTATATAGGACGGCACGCTCACTAGATCAGTGAAATGTCGGTGTGAGTGTTTTTTTTTGTGGTTGTCATGGTTTATATAAATGATGAAAAAAAAAATCGAATGGACACATAAATCATCTATAAACAATCAAATGAATGTCAATGACCATGACCGGAAATTTTACCCTTTTCTTGCGGTTTTTTACTTTTATCATGCGCATCAATAAGGAACAAAACAATTAAAAAAGAATAAATAGAAAGAAGTAGAAAGGATTTTACTATTACATATTTTAATAACGGGAGCTTGCATTATATGAGATTTAATTAAATTTTCACCTAACCTTTAAACTTTCAAAATAGATTTATTTGGTAATATGAATAAAGTAATGTCTCTTTCTTAAAATTCCTTTTATAGAAACTATAATTGCAAATGAAATCATAACATAAAATTTTTGCCTGGGGTACAAAAAAAAAAACATCCACAACATAAAGGAGCGGACCACTCTCCTTTAATAAGAAATCAAAATGGCTAACTTGTAAGGTGCTCAAACAATTGTACAATGCAAACATCGTTTTTAGGTTAGCCGTTTCCATAAATAAATGAATTCGGCAAATCATTTCCACAATTGTTTGAAAATTAACTAATCTTTGTAGCTTTTCCTTTTTTTTTTTTGGTTAGAAATACTTTCTAACGATTCTTCTTGTGAGATTCGATTATAGAGAAGTTTTAAAATTTGCTCAAGTGTCATTATTATTAATTGTATAAATTCAAGGATAATTAAATGAATTCTTAAAATAAAAAAAAGAGTATTTTTTAAAAACCACATTTATGTATTAAAAAAATAAGGTTTGATTTGACTAGTCTATTATTAAAAGGATTACATTGAAAAAGGTTGCCCAATTATCAAAAAAAAAAAAATCTAGACTTCTAGATAAAGAAATGGTGCAAAAAACTTAATAATAAAAGGTCGATAAATTCGCTAAAATTATCGCAAATTATGTTGTTATAGAATAACTCAAAGCATCATTCATGCCTTGTAAAAAACAGGTCCGAAAAGTTATCGGAAATTTCCAATAAAACTGAATTTAATAAAGGAGACGTTTTACGCACTTCATCGAGCATCAAGTATATAAATTATGCAACAGAAAAGGATACCTCATCATCTTGTCAGTTGACATCGTCATTAGATTTCAGAACAAGGAATATAGTAAAGACAGGTACGAAAGCTACAGGAATGTTTTCCATTTTCGTTGCTATATTCTCCTTTTATTCAAGAACCTGCAAAGAAGTTTCTATGGTTTTTTTAAATTTAGACAATTAATTACTTTCATAAATGTAAAGATAGGTAATGAAATATTTTATTTTTAATCAGTTAATGGAAATTTTATTCCAGACTCGTTAAATTTTCACAAAAGTATTAATTTCAAATTTGTATTTCACAAATAGTTAACGAATCCCATTCACAAAATAATGAATGTTCACGAGCAAATATTTGATAGTACTTCTCAAATTCTTTATAGGTATCCACCGACTCAATTTTACACGCTTCAATTATTAATAATTTCGTTATCTGGATCGATACTTTAATGCAATGATGGGTTTTGGACTTATTTTTTAGTTTTAAATATTTTGGACAAGGTTTTGGACATATGAAATTGTGTCCAAAACCTGTCCAAAACTGTCCAAATTGTCCAATTGCCCAACACTGCTTTAATGATATGACGTGCGACAGAAATGAAAATCTTTCAAAGGTAAATATAATGAGATCCAATAACATCTCGCAGAAGCATATCAACCTCTCTTTACAATTTTTCAACGTAATATCTCCAAACTGACAAAAATAAAGTTACTATTTTATCTAATATAGTGATGCTTGGAATTAATGATGGCCAAAACTTATGAAAGCTACAAATATGAAATTTTTTTTTTTTAAAAAAATTATTTCGATATTTTAAATTAATGGAAGGTCGCGTTTATGGGATACATTTTCTTATTTTATATTAAAAGAAAGTCGTATTAACAAGCATAATTTCTGGTTTATAAGAATTTAAACAAAATCAAGAAATCAATTAACATTAATTTAGTTGGATAAATAATAGTTTATTTGGATTATATATATAATCAAAGTATATTTTAATTTTTTTAAACAGTGAGAAAATTTTATAATTTAAGTCTAATTTGTTTAAGTCTAATTTGTCTTTTTAAGAGGGGTATGATAATGAGATTTTCTAATTACCAATATAAAAATTATAAAAGAAAGAAAAAAAGAAAAAAAATATCAACAATAAAATATCGATTACTTTCACGTACAAAATAATGATGTCATTGGGAAATTTTACTAAGTTATCATAATTAACTATTTAATTTCGACGAAAGGTTTGTTGTTATATTGAGAATTATTTTTGATATTATTCAAAGAAGTATATTAGGTATTATTCGTGTGTTTAATTTTCAAAAATCAGGAATGACTCGAAATAAATGTTGAAACCAGGATAGTGTGAAGATTTCTGGATTATTTGATGAAGAGCTATATTTGGTGGTCTGGTCAATGGTGACGTTTGTTCGTAGTATAACAAAGAATACTATAAGTAGTAGCATTTCCATAATTAGTATTTGATGAAAAATTTTCCGCTTGTGGGATTTGGACGACAGCTGGTGGATAGACGTTGCTGTAATTTGATGGAAACCTTTGCGCTTGTTGGTATTGGAAGACAGCTGGTGGATAGGCATTGCTGTAATTTGATGGGAACCTTTCCGCTTGTAAGTTTGGGACGACAGTTGGTGGATAGAAATTGGGTTGAGAATATTGAACGACTGGTGGATAGAAATTGGTGTGACTTAATGGAAACGTTTCCGCTTGTAGGTTTTTGGCGACAGCTGGTGGATAGAAATTATTTGATGAAAAATTTTCAGTTTGTGAGTTTTGAATTAAATTGTTAATTTCAAAATAGTTGGATCTTTGGAAAATGTCATTATGAGAATGATTATTTTGTTCCATAGTTTTGAAAAACGCGATATTATTAAATGGAAAATTTTTCGATAATTCAATGGGGGTATATATAAATAAATTTTTTTATTGTTTATTTTATTTTCTTTGTTTTATATTGAGATGAATAATAACAATGTACAAATATATATCGATATATAAAAAAAAAATCGGTAAATTATATATATACTCAGGGTTTTGCAAATCTAAATATTTTTAATTGATAGATTTAAACTTCATTCCTTTTTTAAACCAATTTTCGTAAATCCAATAATTTTGTTCCATAATCTTGAAAATCGTGATAATATTATATTCGGGTATATATAAAAAAAATTTTTTTTTATGTATATTTTTTTTTATATTGAATTTAATTAAAAATAAAATCATTCCTTTTTTAACCAATAACCACTTATTCATCAATAACAAAATTTTCAATTATATGCTCTTTGTTACTGAAAAAATTAATGAAAATAACAATTAAAGGAAAATACTTGGACTCGTTCAAACGCTCTACACATAAAATAATTCTTAAATGTCTATAACCTACACCTCCTCTGGGGGAGATACTCCAATACAAGATAAAAAATTAAATACAATAATTAAAACTATTTATTTTCTCTTTTAAATAAAAAAATATTATTACAAAACAATTTGAAAGTTTTTGTGGATTACTTTATAAAATAAAAATATGATTTACGTGGTTTCGGATCAAGTTCATAAAATTCCGTGCAATGAAAGGTTGTGACAACCCTTCTTCTTCGACTAACTTAATGTTAAATAACAATAAAAATAATTATACAGTAGCTAATTTTATATTACACCACACTAAATATTTTATTTATTTATATGGTCGATTCTTAATGTATGCTTTATAAATTTTCATATGGTTTTCACCATTCTCTTCCTCGAGTTTTGGATGCATAGAATGTTTATTGCGCCTTCGTTTAAGGTCATACCATGAATATTCAATTAGGTTAATTAAACATCTTGAGATTGAGAAGATAATGTCAAATATCGAATGGCACGGTTAAAATAATCTCAAAAAATAAGTTAACTATGTATGTCATACATAAGCAATTTCCAGAAACAGATTTGTTTATCTTGAAATGCAAAACATACATATAAACATGATGTGAAAGGGAGCTCAATTTATATTATTTATCATTATAAGATATTCATAAATATAAGTATATTCAGATATTTTGTATATTTTGTATGTCAAAGGGATTCAAAATCCAGGTAAAGACGGAAAACACTGGTGTAGGGTCGACGATCTGTTTGTTTATTGTGTAATATTTTTGAAGCCATACATATCAAATTTAGCGTTATACCCCACACAGATGGTCTGAACTTACCCCACTGTTTTCCGTATCACTCTTGACACATAATTAATATTTACTATTTGGTCAAATATTTACGACTAAATCAAGGAATAAATAAAACAAACGCAAAAAAAAAAATTTTTTTGTTTACCAATCAAAATAGGATTTGGATTTTTGATTTTCTGATGCATTAAATTTTAATTTACATTATTTTTTTAGGTCTTTCTTTTATTTTATTTACGAGATTTTAAAGTTTTTTTTTTTTTTTTGAGAAAATAAATTGGAACTTCTACTAGGATTTGTTTTGTTTATTTTGTCGATTTTTTCCTCTATAGAAAGATAAATCATTTTCATCACTTTCATCACTTTCAAATAAAGATTTATCTCATTTTGGTGTGTTTATATTTTACTATTATTTACATTAGAATATGTTAATAATGACGGAGCGAAGAATCATTTTTAAATTTGTATTTTCGTAAAATAATCCTTAAAAATTTCCAGGAAAAAATAAAAGATTGATACAAAACATTGTCGGTTTATTGAATATGATTTTTCAACTGTGACGTTGGAAAAAGTCTATCTTGCAAATTGGAAAGAATTAAACCAAGATTTTGTACTGAAATTTTTTAACCCCCAAATCCTTCACTTCCAATTTATTGAAATTGCTAAAATAGTTATATCAATAATATTTGAGATGTTTTTTTTTTTTTTTTTTTTTTTTTTAGAAATAACCTCTTAAATCCAAGTGTCAGATAACTGCAATGGATTTTTATGTTCTATATCTTGATTTATTTTTTAAATAAAAAACATAAAAAACGCAATACTTTAAACGAACTTTATTTGCTTTTTATATTCGAAAGGTATTCGATAAGGAGTTTGCTATTTATTTATCACCAGTGTTAATTCCTTATCAGACAAGTTCCCGAATACTAATTTCCCGAATATATCTTTTCCCGAAGTCAAATAGACATTTTCCCGAATTCCGAACACCAAATTTTCCGGACCCAATACCCCGATGTCCATATTCCCGAATCCCATTTGCTCTATTGCTATAAATATCGGGAAATTATCCAATTCGGGAAATTGGATTTCGGAAAATTGGCATTCGGGCAATCGTGGTATGTGATCGGTGACATTTAAGGGGGATGAAACAAATATTTTTAGCGGTGAAAAAAATTCTCAGTCCCTAGAAAATGAAAAAAGGGAGGCGTGACACGGTGTGACAAATAACACATGCAATATAAACATAAAACACGTGACACCTGTGATACGAAGTAATTTTCATTCGATAAAATACTAAAACCTTCCTAATGTGCAGAAGCAGATCAAAAGTTGATCGTTACATTTGTCAATTTTCCGTTTTTGGTGGTACTAGTTTAAAATTTAAAAATAAAATATAAACTATAACTATTTCTTAAATAATAAATGTTAATTTAATATCACGAGAGAATAAGGTTAGCACAAAATTAGAGAAAAAACTGCGACAAAAGAACGAATTGGAAAATAAATACTAGTTTATGAATATTGCAGAATTATCGGTATAGGTTTCTATAAGATGTAAAATTGAAAGCATGCCTTTTGTTATTAAACTCTAAAGACAGGATTTAGCTAAAAAAAAAAAAGCATCCTTATTATTAACTGTATTTATCCTCTTATCATATGCATCATATGCTTTATTATGGAACCGCAAAAAATTGAGTTAATGATAAATATGAGCAGAAAAATATATTTGACATTGCAAAGAGCCCATCTTTATTTTTCCACAACACATTTACTAAATTAATTCAGGTGTTAAGGTAAATATTTTTCCGAAATTGCAAGTAAGTTAAGTAAAGTTGTGACAGTGGTAACTTCGAGGCTACGAATCAATAGGAAAAAGTCTCACAAGTAGCAGCAGAAATCTGTGACTTCAATTATTAAACGATTTTTTTTCAAAAAAAAAGAGAATTGCGTAAAACGTCAACGTGAAAGAGCTACTGTACATTCAGACTTTTAGCGTAGAAAACCTCGACAGCCTTTTTAGTGTTCTTGATTCCTCCAAAGCAAATTCGTAATTTGCTATGAGTAACTTGTTAATGTGTCATTTGTAGTAACAAAGAACATTATTTACAATACATTCATAGAAAAATACGAAATCCTCATATCTGGCAAAGTCAGCATAGGAGATTGTGTTATTTACTTCATTAAGACGGAACTTTTCTCCTAAATTAAATGTATTCCACATTAACAATGAGAAACTTTTCATTCGTTAATGTCAGAACATGCTGGATATGCGCATTTTAAGTTTTATAATAAAATTTGTGAATTATATTTACATAGTTGTTCAAGGTCAGAAAAAACAAAAACAAAAATCTCTGTATCACGCAAATAGTAATATTAGTCTTACAAACAAATAATATGCAGAGAAACTTATAGTAATATTAATCATACTGAACAGAAAAACAGAATTTTAATTTAGAATTTTGATGTAAATGTATATTTGAGAGAAAAATACATCATAAAATACTGTAAATAATATCCAGAATATAAACGGAATATATAATGATTTAATGTATGTATTTACTAAAAAACGATTTAAAATGAAATATAAATATTATTTTATTAAAATATAATAAAATTTACAAATAATTACTAGGAATTTTTTTTTTTTGCGTCATAAAATTAATAATATAAAAATCCTATCATCGAAAGTAAAAGGAAAATCTTCAATTTATAAATTATCACTTTTTTTCAAATAATACAGTGAATACAGTGGGCAAAATAGGCAAAATAATACTTCACAAAATGATTTTAATTTCCAAAGTTCCAACTTTACTTAATTGACAGCAATTTACTTCCACCTGAAGTCATCCAAAACCTCCAAGGGTAAAATTTCTATCAAATATTATTTATGAAAAATACAAACGTCGTACAGACAGCATATTGTTCCTCCATTGACCTATAATATTACTTATTTTGTTTATAACGGTAAAGAAAAAATCTATTGATTCTTATCGTTACACTTATGCCGAACTTTTGTGGTATGACAAAGGCGCAAAACGAGGAAAGAATGGAGAAAAAATTCCGTTCTAAAATATGAAATATGAACCTTTTATAAAGCATACATTAATAACTAACCGAACAAACAATTAAAATATTCATTACCCGATACTCAAACGTGGAGTAACTACTATACATGTATATGTAATTTTTATTATAGCAGACAAACTACTATAATATACTTGCGGATAAGATATTTATTTAGGAATTAACAATTTATAATTATGATATCTAAATAAATTATTAAACGATGACAAAAGAACCAGTTATTCTTCAAGTACAAAAACTTTAATTATATGCTCTTTACAACTTTATAAATAACTATAAATATTATAAATATTTATACATTTATTCTTTCTTATACACAGAATTCCGGTACAAATAATTTCATGGATATTATTTACTTTTGTAAATGTTTCATGTTTAATAAACTACCTTTGACAAATTGTCCGGTCAGTCAAAAAAAATATTTCGGTTGGCTCTTTATGCATATGATTTTAATATGACGTGTTACTAATTATTATTATATTTATTATTTATGCCACAAATATAAAAACTAATGTTTAAAGTTAAAAGTTACATTATTAAAAAGACAATTATTATAGATGGGAAATTTCTTTTGAATATCGTCAGAAGAAAATTCATCAGATG